CCCCCCCCCCCCCCCCCGCAGCCTTTTCTTCTTTTGGTCTTTTTTGAGACAGAGGCTCCCTGTAGCTCCAGCTGTCCTGGAATTCACTAGGTAGGCCAAACTCGCCTCAAACCCACAGAGATCCTCCTCCCTCTGCCTCCCAAGTGCTGGGATTAAAGGCATTTGGCACCACACCTGGCTTGTGCTTGTACCATTTCACATTTCATGTTTCTAGAAGGGAAGTGTGGCACAGGAGAGTAGCCCAGAGGGAAAGTTACATCATACAAATGTGGTGATGTGACACTGGCCTTTGTTCAAGAGTCCCTGGCAGGGAAGTTAACAAGTGTAAGTGCCTTTCTCCAAAAGGTGCCAGTGATGTGACACTAAATTGCTGTTGGATGCTTTTAGACCTTGCACATGTACGTATAATTTTAGTAATTGTAAGTAGAATCACTCATCGCACAGTTGAGAGCTGGTGGTGCTGGTGCTGGTGGTAGGGTGTGGGATATGTTAATGGGGGTACAGTTGTTGAACTGCATGTATTCTGCTCAGGTTTAATGCTTGCTTGAATATGCTACATTTAAAGAGCAAAAAAGGGCTTATAGGCCTGAGTGCCCACAACAGTTCAAATTTCTTGTTGATAGCTGTTTTATGTATGTTTTAACTTTGATTTGGTGTCTTTCTCCAGGTTGAGTTTTTTTTTTTTTTTTTTTTTGGTCTTTTTTTGAGACAGGGTCTCCCTGTTGCCCCAGCTGTCCTGGAACTCACTACGTAGACCAGGCTGGCCTTGAACTCACAGAGATCCATCCACCTGCCTCTGCCTCCCGAGTGCTGGGATTAAAGGCATGCGCCACCACGCCCGGCTCAGGTTGAGTTTTTTAACTTCTGTGAAGTTTTGTTTAGACTTTTATTCATTGTTTATATATTCCTAGTCAAATCTTTCAGAGTTTAGTTAATTTATTTGTGGTGCTGGGGCTCAAATCCAGGGTCCCCTATGCTAGGCATGCATTTCACCATTGAGTCTATCTTTCTTTTTTTTTTAATGTTTGGTGTTTTGAGGTTTTTTTGAGACAGGTTCTCAGTATGTAGCATTGGCTGGCCTGGAACTCACAGAGCTCTGTCTGCCTCTGCTTCCCAAGTGCTGGGATTAAACGTGTGCGTCACTGTTGGCCATTTAAATATCTGTTTGCTTTTAAAATTTTGTTCATTTATTGTGTGTAAATGAACAGTTCTTTTTGAACAGTATGGATGCCCATGCTAGCACACATAAGCAGTCAGAGGACAGTTTATAGGAGTTGGCTTTGGTGGCCAAACTCAGACCATCAGCAGTTAAGTGCCTTTATGTGTTAAGCCATCTCACCAGGCTCTTGCGTTTTGAGACAGAGCATTCTTGAGTGGCCTAGGAGGTCTAGGAACCCGTCCTCATCTCACTACTGTCTCCCGATGCTGGGGTTACAGGCATGAGCCATCCTGCCTGTCACATCTGTGTGTTCTACATTTAAAGAATATGTTTCTCCTTAGTGTCAAGTGGGTAAGAGCAAACTTTGTTTCTAGTCCCTGTATTATCAGTAAGTTATAGGCAACTTCTTATGCCATTTTCTATTTACTGATATTCTGAAAATACTTACACTTTTTTTTTTTCATTTTTGAGACAAGATCTCACTTTGTAGCCCTAGCTGACCCGGAACTTGCTATGCAGACCAGGTTGGCCTCAAACTTGGAGAGATCACCCGCTTCTGCCTAAGTGCTGGGATTAATGGCATGCTCTACCACACTTGGCTGTTTGTTTTTGTTTGCTACCCATTCTGTTCAGTGATATTTCGTTACTTGTCATGATTTTTAACCTAGCAAGCCTAATCTCTCTCATAACCTTTTATATTTTATCCAAGCTTAAGTCCGTACAATAATAATTTTTATTAGTAATAATTGTTGTAGCTAGAATTTAGAAGCCTGAAGGTAAATTGAAATGAGTTAGAGTTTGAATGTTATGTTAGATCTATTTCTCAGAATTCAGTTGCTAACTCAGATATTGGTCTAGAATTATATAGGTTAGGATTAGTGAGAGCTTGTTTTCAAAAGGGGATATTCTGATCACTATAGTACAAGTCAAAATAAATTAGGAGCGGTCACCAAAATACACATTTTAAAACACTTGTAGTTTGCACTGTTCATTAAAGTTTTTTTTTTTTTGTCTTTTCTGAGACAGGGTCTCCCTGTAGCCCCAGCTGACCTGGAACTCACTCTGTAGACCAGGCTGCCTCCCGAGTGCTGGGATTAAAGGCGTGTGCCACCACACCCAGCTAAACTGTATAATTTTATTGCACTTCAGTTACTAAAATTGTTTGCTATACAACTGTTTTGAAAAGCAGTGTTCTCATTAATACATTGATATCCTTGGTGGAGCTTTGCTGTTAGGTTGAGTCCCATTCTTAGATATCTAACATTCGAAAAACTCTGGACTTCAGCATGAGCGAAGTTGAACCAGGGCCTTTCTTTGCTTTAAACTCTGGAACACAGTGGCCTTTAAATGTACATGCATCTTATGTTGATATTGCTTATTTTATAGTTCACTTCGGTTCTTGCTTATCATTGTTTAAAAATTTTTGCAGATGCAGTTCTTTTTGAACAGGATATTTTAAAGCAGACGACTTCTTTTTCTGTATAGTGACAACTAATGTTTAGTTTTGAACAAAAAGGCTTGTAGAGAACAAAACATCCAGTGTATGGGATTGGGGTTAGGACCAAAGGCCTTTTGTGTGAGTGTTGGCATAGATTTTTTAAAAATAAAGTTTCATTTCCTATTTTCTGTGTTAAATTACATTGATACATCAGCACCCTGTTTCCAGTCTGGGTTTCGTCACATTTCTGTTCAAAGTGGACTCTAAAGACAATTGTCAACTAGTCAAATTTATGTGTAGCTTTTATCCACAGATAAACTCCTGATTTTTTTTGGGTCAAATTTTGCTCCTATTTGAGGTACTATAAAAAGCCTGAGGGAGCTTTATGGGCTTTAAAATTATGAAGATGGAGTCATGGGTTCCTATGTTCTTCTATGGGACCTGTGGTCTATCTTTTCTTCTTACTGATGCAGTTAAGCTGCTTTTTAAAATTGAGAATGATAAGGGTTAGAAGACCGATTTTTATTTAATTCATATGGCCATGTTAAGTGACTTGTAACTTGTCCATAATCCACAAAGTTGTACAAGTTTTGAAACATTAGTTGTCTTGTTTGAAACATTAGTTATCTTGTTATTGAAATTTTTAATTCAAAATTCAAAATCTGAGTGGCAATATAGCATTAGATTCTTTCATTGTGTTTTCTAAAATAGAGTCGTGAATTGTCATCTATTCAAAGAGGTATCAGAATTATGAAATAACTTGTAAGCCTTTAGAAAAGAAGTACAATGTCTTACACTGTTACACGTCAGAAGTTCAGAATTTTTAACAGTAAAATAATATTTTTTCCCTCCAATGCAGGTGTTTTTTATACATTTTCCTACAGGGCTCCTCTGTGGAGAAATCCGAAAAGCCTACGTCGAATTTGTCAATGTCAGCAAATGTCCTCTGACTGGATTGAAAGTTGTGTCTAAACGGCCAGAGTTCTTCACTTTTGGTGGCAATACGGCTGTTCTCACACCATTGAGCCCTTCAGCCTCTGAAAACTGCAGTGCTTACAAGACGGTTGTGACAGACTTTCCCTCTGTGGGTACAGCACTTGTGTCATCTGCGTCTTCTGTGGACTTTGGCATTGGCACAGGGCAGCAGCCAGAAGTGATTCCTGTTCCTCTTCCTGACTCTGTGCTTCTCCCTGGAGCATCTGTCCAGCTTCCCATGTGGTTACGTGGGCCAGATGAAGAGGGTGTCCATGAAATTAACTTTCTATTTTACTATGAAAGTGTTAAAAAGCAGCCTAAGATACGGTAGGTATTTTAAAACTTGAAGATTTGTGCTTAATATATACACGTATTTGAATAAATTTTGACATTTGTTATACATCATTACTTATTGAGAAATGTCTTCCTGGGCTGGAGAGATGACTCAGCGGTTAAGAACACTGGTTGTTCTTGCAGAAGACCCGGGTTCGAATCCCACATGGGATTCGATGTTAGCACCCACATGGCAGCTAACAACTGTCTGTAACTCCAGTTCCAGGGGATCCGATGGCCTTGTCTGTCCTCGCGGGCATTGCACGACACGGGTACACTTACCTACAGGCAGGCAATACACTCATACACATAAAAATAATAAAAAATATTAAAAATTAAATAAAATTAAGAAAAAGAAATGTCTTCCAAATTATGCATGGTGTTTATTTTTCTAAATATTTTATTTACTATTTTTATTTTATGTATATGAGTGTATTGCCTGCATGTAGGTAAGTGCACCCATGTCGTGCAATGCCTGCAGAGGACAGAAGAGGCCATCGGATCCCCTGGAACTGGAGCTATGTATGGACAGTTGTTAGCTGTCATGTGGGTGCTGGGATTTGAACCAGGTCTTCTGCAAGAACAACCAGTGTTCTTAACCACTGAGCCATCTCTCCAGCCCTATGCATGGTGTTTCTATCTAAACTTGTAATTACAACTAAATTCTAGGTAGCCAGGAATGGAAAAAATTATATGAAAATTTTTAAGGGGGAAAAAAAAACCCAAGCTGGGCGTGGTGGAGGCAGAGGCAGGCGGATCTCTGTGAGTTCAAGGCCAGTGTGGTCTACAAAGTGAGTTCCAGGACAGCTGGGGCTACAGAGAAGAGACCCTTTCTCAAAAAGACTGAGAAGAAAAAAAAAAAAAAAAAAAACCCTAAAAATTGTAGTTGCTTTTATTTATAAACGTCATGATTGTTTATCTTAAGTACAGCCATCCTTTTTGTTTGGGGTTGTTTGTTTGTTTCTTTATTTTTGAGCCAGGGTCTTCCTGCAGCTCCACCTGGCTATGTAGATCGATCTGGCCTCCCAAGTGCTAGAATTAAAAGTACGCACCACCACACCTGATCCACAGCCATCCTTTTTAATAAGAGAATTATTTTGTTCTTTTCCCTAGGCTCTCCCAAAATGTGTGAAAAAAAAAGTATGTTATAATGGGTGTAGTAATGGGTGATCATTGAAGAAATAAAACCCAACCTGTTCATAGAACTTCATATATGTTGCACAGAAGAATTTTTTTGGGGATAACACCACTATCATTTTTACTGAGTTTCTTAGGAATATTTTTTTACATTTGTTTTATTCAGTGGAATGTGTAAGGTCAAAAGTGGGAAAATGCTTGAAGTAACAGTAAATTTTAGGTCTCATAATGTTACTTCTCCTTAGGATGGTAGAGATAAAAGGAGTACTCTGGCCAAGGAAGGTTCCCATGCTGTGGTGGTGGTGAGCTGTGCTTTGCAGGTCAGGATGTAGATACCAGGTGGACAGGATATTACTATTCCTGTGAGTAGCTGTATCTACGAGCAGAGGTTTACAGGTTAGAGAGTAGAAATTGAATAATTTGTTCAACCACAATACAAACTTGGTGTAAAAGAAGTAGCTAGGTTTGGTGGCAAGTGCCTATAGTCCCAGGAGGGGAGGGCCTGAGGGTCAGGGGTGAAAGGCCACCCTGGGGCACAGGAGACGTTGGCTCAGAAAAACCAAACCAAAACATTAAATTTGAAATACAAAGCTTTGAATGCCAAGTTAAAAGTTGGGGGCTTTGCTTGCTAGTTGTAATTTTGGGACCACTTTCGAGGGAAAAGGTGTAATTCTTGTTCCATGAAAAGTATTTTCACTGTGACACAGATGAGTTTGATGGGGGGAAAGGGGAGGGAAGTGGGGAGGAACCTATAACCAGAAACACTAATATTTTTCTTCCAGATTGAGAAGGAAAATTGAACTGAAATTAGTCTATGTATTTTACTTTACTGTTTTCTGTGTTTTTCTAGAGTTATCTGTGGTCCTGAAAGTTATGTTTCTGATCTTTATTTAGAATTAGAGATTTGCAACAAAGACCTTTAGATTCAGTTTGCATATATTTTTACTTCAGACACAGAATATTAAGACACACTGCAGTTATTTGCACCAGCCGGTCTTTGAATGTACGAGCTACTGTCTGTAGAAGCAACGCACTTGGAGATGAAGAAGGCAGGGGAGGCAACATGCTCGTCTTCGTGGATGTGGAAAATACCAATACTGTAAGTTACTTTAAAGCTGAATTTTATTTTAAAATATATTTAGAAGGTGCTGAAGAGATGGCTCAGTGGTTAAGAACACTGGTTGTTCTTGCAAAAGACCCGGGTTTGAATCCTAGCACCCACATGGCAGCTAACTACGGTCCGTAACTCCAGTTCCAGGGGATCTGACAGCCTCTTCTGACCTCCGCAGGCATTGCATGACATGGGTGCACTTACTTACATGCAGGCAATACCCACATACACATAAAATAAAAATAATAAAATATTTAAAATATATTTAGAAACATTTATTTTTGAAATATTCATGTAGAATAGTATGAAAACATGTTAAAATTGTCCATTTTGTAATTTTATCCCCCTCTCTTCAAACGAGAAAATGTCTGGATTGGCTGATGATAGTATAATATGTGCCTGTCACAGGCTCTGTGGTCCATGCCAGTACTACAGTCTCAGAGATCTATGAAGTGCTCTTCAGCCTCATCCCACAGATAGTCCATTGATACAGTGACATTTACATGATTCTGTTAGGATCTCACATTCCATATTAATTTAACCCTGTGCTTGCACTGCTTTGATGGTACCATTCTTTCATACAAGGATTTCTGTGTATACACTGTAATACCAGAATGAATGTTCTTGAAGAAAGGAATGTGATCACAAAGTTTACAGAACCTCACCTTGATCCAGTTCCAATTCTTGAAATATTGCTTGTTAGTTCTGTAATAATCTTTGCTTTTAGCTCTGTAAATTTGTGAAGTAATTTTGAAAAGAATATTTAGGTTCATCCTACTTATATGTTGGTGATTTTTGAAAGAATATGTTCATTATATGCATAAGAAAATTTTAATAAAGGCAAATGTCAGATTAGCTTTTATTTAGGAAAAAAAAAATTATATGCAATGTCGGGCATGGTGGCACATATCTATAACCCCAGCATGTGGGAGGCAGAAGTTGGATCTCTGTGAGATTGAGACCAGCCTCTTGGTCTACATAACTGAGTTCTATGCCAACTGGGGTTACAATAACAGACAAAAATATAATTTAAGTAACTCCATGTGAATTGACTATGAATTAAGGTTTTGTTTCATGAGCCTTTTTTGGTCGCTGTTGTTTGGTTTTTCCTCCTTTGATGTTTTTATTTTAAATTTTGTTTATTATTTTTATGTGTACAAGTATAAGTGCACCCGTGTTGTACAGTGCCCAAGCAGGGCAGAAGAGGACGTTGGATCCCCTGGACTGGAGTTAGGATGATTGTCAGCTGCCATGTGGGTGCTGGGAACCAAATCTAGGTCCTCTGCAAGAGCAGCCAGTGCTCCTAACCGCTGAGCCGTCTCTCCATCTCTTTGTTCTTCGAAAGGGTCTTGCTATTACAGCCTAGGTGAACTGTAAACTTGCCAGCCTTCTGAGTGCTGGGATCATAGGCTGTGCCCAGGTAGCTGCTTGGGCTTTTTCATCTTAATGAGAGATATTTTCAGAAAAATCAAAAGAAATAAAAAGTGTCGTATCATTTTTTTTGAGATAGTAACTCAGATGACCCAGACTAGTCTCAAATTCCATATGGAGGTGAGTATGACTTTGAACTTGTGATCCTTTTGTTTCTACCTCTTGAGTACTGGGATTGCAGGCATGTCCTACCATGTCTGGTTCATAATGATGGGGGCCAAATACAGGGCTTCATGCATGCTGAACAAGCATTCTACTAACTTGATCTGTGACCCCATCCCTGAATGTGTCATATTCTTGATTTAAAATTCACAACCGATCTTTTTTCTCAGGACAGATTTTCATTCTGTAACTAGGTTGGCTTGGAAGTCAGCCAACTGTGCTTTAACTTCCCAAGTACTGGTACAGGTGTGTGCTGCCATGCCCACTGACCAGTAATTGTGAATTACTAAGTACTGCCAGTAACATAGTCGATTCTGAAAACATTACATTTTACTGCTGGATATATTTTATAGTTATATATTTTTTTGTTTAAAATGTTGATTTCTTTGTTTTAAAGATGTTAGGAATTTTAATAACTTCCTAAAATGTTATTATATTATTTTAAATGTAAATTTCATGTAATGTTAATTGTAATTGCTTTTGGTAGTGTCTCAATTTTGTCCTCTTTGGAATATTTTAAAAAAATATTTATTATTTTTATTTTATGTGTATGAATGTATTCCTGCATGTATGTAAGTGCAGTTGTTTCGCGCAATGCCGCAGAGGTTAGAAGAGGGCTTCAGATTCCCCTGGAACTGGAGTTAAGGACAGTTCGTAGCTGGGACTCGAACCTGGGTCTTCTGCAAGAGCAATCAGTGCTCTTTACCTCTGAGCCATCTCTCCAGCCCCTAATTTAGTGCTCTTAAACCCTAGTGACTCTGGTGTCTTCTTGCAGAGTGAAGCCGGGGTGAAGGAGTTTCACATCGTGCAGGTGTCGAGTAGCAGCAAGTGCTGGGAGCTGCAGAAGTCTGTGAACATCTCTGAGAACAGAGGTTGGTGCTCCGCCTCTCTGCATAGTCAATTCTGAGATCTTCATACCTTGTTGCTGAGAACGGTGCCAGAATATAAATTATTGGTGCTTCCCTTATAGAGTTAATTTCTTAATAAAGTATACTTTCTTTAGATTTTGTGACTGTAAGTCAGTTTTCCTATTTTGATCCAGTTTTTTCCATCCTTTTATTGCCTTTGATGTATTTTCCTTTGAGTTTCAAACAACATAGAAATGTATAAACTAAGCTGTGTGTGATAGCGCACGCCTTTAGTCCCAGCACTTGGGAGGCAGAGGCAAGCAGATCTCTGTGAGTTCAAGGCCAGCCTGGTTTACAAAGTGAGTTCCAGGATGGCTGGGGCTACAGGGAGACCCTGTCTCAAAAAGACAAAAAAAAAAAAAAAAAAAAATTTCACACAAGAGAGTATGCATACTTGCCTACATACTGGCAAACTGTTTTGCAGAATCTGCCTATCAATTTAGCACTTTGTTCATAATGTGAGTGTGCCTAGCATAGGATTGATGGGAAATTGGCAAATGATGCTGGCTGTTGCTGGAACAAAGCTTACAGCATCTTTAAAAGTCTTAAATATTTCAACCTTAGCATCACATTAATTCTCACTTCTTTTTTTGGGAATTATATCAGTTACTTTTCTTGTTGCTGTGACCAAACACCTGACAAGAAGCAACTTAAGGGAGGAAAGGTTTGCTATGGCCTGCAGTGTAGGAGCATATAGTCCATCCTGGTGGGGAAGACATGCAGGTAGGACATGAGGCAGCAGGCAGCATTGCATCTCCGGTCAAGAAGCAGAGAGCAGACAGGACATGGGGCTGAGCCTGCCCCAGTGGCCTTCCTCTAGCAAGGCATCAGTAGCTGTGGACCATGTAGTCAAACACCTGCCAAAGGGAAGATACCACATGTGAACCACAACAGAAACTACCCAAACATATGGAAATTTTATATATTTAGAGCACGTTGCATGATTATATTCACTGCAGAAAAATTGCTGTGGCTTCTGTGTAAATTATGTTGTCTCTTATATAGATTCTTTTGTGGCCATTACAATATTTCAGCATTGTTTTTTACTTTTATTTAGTCTGTATTTGTGTGTGGTGGGGGGGGTTCATGCATGGACACACATATGTGCCATAGCACATATGTGAGCATGTCAGTTATGTAGGCTCTGGAATTGAACTCAGGACTCCAGACTTGATAGCAAGCACCTTTACCCACTGAGCCACCTTGCTGTCCCTATACATCATAATTTAACCCCCCTCCCTGCTCAGTGGTGGGAAAACACACTATGGCAAATGTAATTTATGGAAGTCATAGGCATGGGAAATACTGAAGGAAATGATTGAGTGGTGAGATTGTGCCTCCTGGACCCACAACTCCCAACCTTTCAGACTTTATGTGGAATGCCAAATATACAACCATGCACACAATCCCAAATGCTTGTACATTTTAAAATACTAAAATTTACCTATTTAGGAGGTTAATGAGTATTCATTTCATTGAAGTGAAAGATTTTTCTAATGAAACATTTTTTTATAATTATGAATTGTTTTCCAATTTGGCCAAGGAAGTGTAAATAAAGAATTAGGTTTTACACATAACTGAGAAACATCTCTTATTTCTAGATGCCAGACTTGCCAGTAGAGAGAAGGGAAAATTTTGCTTCAAGGCAGTAAGATGTAAACAAAAGGAAGGTAAGTCTCCTTTACTTTCGTACAGACTTGTTCATTTAATGTCTATGGCACTGGCATCATTAGTTTGTTCTCTTGTGTGTTTAGCTGCTGTGCAGTCCTCAGAAAACTACACATTTGCAGATATCATCTTTGGAAACGAGCAGGTAAGCTGGGATGCACTGTAGGGTTTGAGAGCCTTGGTTCTAGACATGTATTTCGAAAAAACTGTAGCTTCACTAATAACCACATCTCTGAACAGCTGTACCTTACTGAGCTTTGCAGCTTGCCTTTAATCTTCAAGACAACCCACTAAGCCACTGCACCACCTTTTCTGAAAAGATCAAGTGAAGTAAATATAGTACCTGGGGTTTTAAGAAAGCCAGGATTACTCGGGGAAATGATTCTGTGAGGAAATAATACACTTTTGTACACAATGGATGCTTTTGTCCCTATAGTTCTGTCTTTAGGATTCTTGTCTCATGTGATCACCTTCAAATTTGGCTCATCAGGTGGTTCTGACACCTAAATAATCAACTAGATACAACAGGCTCTCATGGGATGTTACAGGTATTGTCTAGAGCAGTGATACTTGATCATAATTATATCTGAGGACCTAGAGGTGCTTTTCAAACTTTCAAAAAGTGCATTGGAGATCTTGTTAAAATAAAATACTATGCTGAGTGTGGAGGCATATGCCTTTAATCCTAGCACTCAGGAGTCAGAGGCAGGTGAATCTCTGTGAGATGGGGCCAGCCTGGCCTACAGAGCGAATTCCAGGCCAGCTGGGGCTACATACAGAGACCCTGTCTCAAAAACCCAGGACCCCCCCACCCCCCAATTCTGGTTCATTAAAACTGTTGGAGCCTGAGGTTCTAAATTCCTGCCAGTTTCCAGGTGGTATTGGGTTCAAGCTGTAGACCCAGTTTTGAGCACCAGGACCTAGAGGATTTGGTTAAAATAAGGGCTTTCCTTCTCTACTGCTAAAGCTCTGATTCATTATTGTCTTGGAATTTGGGAATGTTATTTTTTTGTGTGTGTGACAAGGTGTCATAGAGTCCAGGCTGACCTCAAACCCTTATGTATTGAAGGATGACCTTGAACTTCTGATCTTCCTATGCTGACTTTTTCATGGGGCACTGGGGATTGAACACAGGGCTCTGTGTATGCTCGGCCAGCATTTTACCAACTGAGCTGCATCTCTAGTCTAGAATAGGCATTACAATTTTTTTTTTCCCAAATGTCAGTAGCAGTTATAAATCGTGCTACATTAAAATTTTAATTATTTTACTGTATGTGTGTGTGTGTCTGCCTTGGTGCATGTGTGTGGAAGTCAGAGGACAACTTTCCACAGTCCGTTCTCCTTCCACCTGTTGAGACAGTCTTTCTTGTATCTGTTGCTATACAACTGTGAGCTGCTAATGAAACGATTTCTTTTTTTTGTGCTCTTTAATAACTCCAAACATCTTTAAAATTTTTGCATTGTTCTAATCATAAGCTTTCACATGACTCACCTTTTGTGACAATATTTGACATTTGAGGAAACAGCTATGTAGTAATTTTTCAAGACTGTGAAAGTCCAGTACTTGGAAAACATGTATGGCTTTTGGAGATACTCTGCTTTGAATGTTTAGCTTTCAGATCGTCAGTTGTTTTGATCACTTCTTTCTTTTTATTTATTGTCTTTTTTTTTTGGTCTTTTTGGAACAGGGTCTCCCCTGTAGCCCCAGCTGGCCTGGAACTCGCTATGTAGACCAGACTGGCCTCGAACTCACAGATATCCATCTGCTTTCCAAGTGCTGGTATTGAAGGTGTGCACCACCATGATCAGCTATTTGTTGTCTTTTATTATGATCCTGAGGACTGAATCTAGGGCCTTCCACATGTTATGCAAGCACTCTACCACTGAGCTGTGTTCCCAGCCCTCTTTTTCCTATTACTTTAAGATGATCTCATTAAGTTTCCCAGGCAAGTTGAACTTATGTTTCAGTCACTTCTGGTGCCTGGAAGGTCATGGGAGTCTTGATTAATTATTTTTGCATGACATCTAATAAGGTTCTGGGTAATTTGAATTAAATCTTTTAGGTATTTAAATGTCCTTCATGTATTCAGCCATACAGACAAGAAATTAATGAGTAAGCTTTGGGGTATATGTGTTTTAGAATTGTGAATTTTGGTGTGATATGTTTAAATGACAGTTTTGACAGACATTTAATTAAAAACATTTATGCAGGCAAGTATTTTTTTCTAAACAGATAATAAGTTCAGCAAGCCCATGTGCAGATTTCTTTTATCGAAGTTTATTCTCTGAATTGAAGAAACCACAAGGTCATCTGTCTGCGCCCCCTGAGAAACATTCAACAGAGGATGCTGTGAGACTTATTCAGAAGTGCAGTGAGGTGGATCTGAACATTGTCATTTTATGGAAGGTATATGCACTGAACTATTTCAGTAAACCTCACTTATAGACATCTAAGTTTTTATTTGGTTTTACATTTTGAGACAGGGTATTTTTGTGTAGCACAAGCTGGCCTTGAATTCTTTGTCCTCCTGCCTCAGCCTTATGAGTGCTGGAATTACAGGTGTGAGTCATCCTACCCCACCTCTGTATTTGTTGTGTTTTTGGAGACTGTCTTAACTATGTAGCCCTGTTGGCCTGGAACTATATAAACCTGCTGGTCTCTAACTCAAAGAGACCTACCTGTGCTGGGATTAAGGCATGTGCCCTAGGTATTTGATTTTCTTTTTTCTTTTTTTTTGGGGGGGGGTCTTTTTTGAGACGTTCTCCATGTAGCCCCATCTGGCCTTGTACTCACAGAGATCCACCTGCCTCTGCCTCCCCAGTGCTCGGCTTAAAGGCATGCGCCACTAGCCCAGCTTAGGTATTTGATTTTTAAACTAAAGAACAACTTGTATGCTCCTTTTTATATTCTTTCAGCTTAAAATTTTCAGTTGCAGTGTTGAAATTGTCTTATGACTTTTAATAGTTCCATAATAATTTTTTGAGATTTGTTGTCTAAAAAAAGAATTCAGTACAAGTGGATAGCTTTCTTATCCTAGACATGCCAGGCTATGAGAGCAGGTGACACCAAACTCAGACATTCTCAGGAAGGAAGGCACTCTGCAAATCTGGGTACCCATGGCTCGAGTTCCAGCAGCCATGAATTTTTGTTTAAGATTTGTGTTCCATCTATTTATTTGCCTGTTTCCTTTTGTCATCTTACCCTTTATTTTTCTGTAAGCAGTTTATTTAAGCCATACTGACTGCATGAATTTCAAATGATATACTGATTAAGTAGATTGATCTTTGTGTTAATTGTAGAACATGTTTTATGTTGAAAAGACAAGTTTATTATGTACTATTGGCTTGAAACCAAATGCTCTTGAATGCCCCTTAATGCACTTAAGGCAAGATTTTGAGTAATGTATGCTATAATCTATACTCAATGTCAAGTCCACAATGATCATTTTAAAAAGAAAGCCCTGAGCTATGCTCATTACTAGAACCACTGATCACATGAAGAAGGAAAAACCTAAGATGTAGTCCTTGGCTGCAAAATGGAAGTTGAATGGTTAGAGTGTGCTGTGAAGCTTGGTAGTGGTTAGTACACGGGAGTGTATCTGTAAGGTGAGAAAGTGGCTGTCAATTAAAAAGAAGTAAAGAACACTTTAGTTGGGGCTGGAGAGATGCTCAGTGGTTAAGAGCACCGACTGCTTTTGCAGAACATCTGGGTTTGGTTCCCAATACCCACATGGCAGCTAAGAACTGCCTGTAACTCCAGTTTCCAGGGATCTTACATTCTCTTTGGCTTACACATGTACTGCCCACATGTAGTACACTTACCTACATGCAGGTAAAACACTCATACACATAAAAGAAAAATAAATCTTTAAAAAAGGTAAAAGAAGCCAGGCATGGTGATGTGCCCTTTTAATCCCAGCACTCCAGAGGCAAAGGTAGGCAGCTCTCAGTGGGTTCAAGGCCAGCCTGGTCTACATAGTGAGTTCCAGGCCAGCTGCGGTTATAGGGAGACCCCGTCTCAAAAAAAGAAGGGGAAAAAAAAAGTAAAAGAACACTTTACTCCCTGGATCTCCCTGGCCAGCCTGTCAGTGAGCTCCATCCAGTTCAATGAAAAACTGTCTCAAAAATAAGGCAGTTAAGGATACCTGGAGTTGAACTTTTTCTTTTTTCCTTTTTTTTCTTTTTGATTTATATTTTTGTGACAGGATCGCATATAGTCAAAGCTGGCCTTGAACTAATTCTCTCCTACCTCCCTAATACTGGGATTATAGGGGTGTGCTGTCATGCCCAGCTAAAAAACAAATAGGAAAATTCATTTTAATTGTGAAATAACATGCCCAGGGACTGTAGGATTTCTGAATCAAACACGTTCAGGAACAAGCTAATATCATAGACATTTGTTTTGTTTTTGTGTTTTGAGGTAGAGTCTCCCTATGTAGCTTAGTTTGACCTGGAAGTCACTGTAAAAGATGTCTTGACATTGTTTTAAGACCTTATCAGTTAGCTCCTGTAAGGCCATCATCCATTAGCTCCATTTCTGGGTTCTGTGCATATGGATGCTGGGTAGGCTCTGTGCTTTATGGAGGCAGTACTTAAAAGTGTGACCTCTGATGGCAGACGGTCAGTGTGTTAGTACAGAACTCAGCTGGGTATGGTGGCGCACACTCTTAATCCAACACTTGAGAGTTAGAGACAGGCTGGTGTCTGTGAGATTGAGGCCAGCTTGGTCTACATAGTGAGTTCTAGGCCAGCTGGGGCTATAGGGAGACCTTGTCTCAAAAACAAAAGAACAACGCGCACACACACAAATGCACACATGCACATGCACAAGAAGCTTGCGTGTCACTTCTAAACCTTTTGACTGAGATCAGGTTAAGAAAGCAGTTTGTGTTAGGCCTCTAGAGAGGGCTCAGTGATAAGGCGCTTACCATGCAGACATGAGGGCTTAAATTCAGATCCCTAGCACCCATGTAAAAGCCAGGCATGTTAGCTTGCATGTTACCCCAGTGCTGGGTGGGGTGGAGGAAGGCAGATCCCTGGAACTCCCTGGCCAGCCATAAACTCCATGTTTAGTGGCTAGGGAAGATACCCAGCATTAAACTCTGGCTTCCACTGGCTGTCCCCGCCTACCCCCAATGCATACATTATAGAGATACATACACACAGACTCTGTCTTAAAACACAGTTCTTTGAAGTTGTTTTTTGAGAGTCTGAAGAAATAAAAGATCTCTCTATGAAATACTTAAGTCATCTGAGTTTTACAGTAAGCCCGAACAGATTCTGAGGGAGGGGCAGATTGTTTATGGAAGGAGAAATAAAAATAATTGAAATGCTGACACAAGATTATTGGTAATTGATTATCATATTTTCTTTCCATCAGATGTTGAGACTGTTACATATGAGGTTTGTATCAAACAAAAGGTGACATTTTTGTTGGTTGCATTCTTTTTTTTAGGCGTATGTTGTAGACGACAGCAAGCAGCTTATTTTAGAGGGTCAGCATCATGTTATTCTTCACACTGTGGGAAAGGAAGCCTTTTCATACTCTCAAAAACAGGTAATAGTGGAGTTTGCTTTGGAACCTTCCTGACATTTTTATGTAGGCATCTTATTGTATGTACTTCCCTCATATTCATGATTTGTGTCGTTCCCCACTCCCTCTGGTTCTGTGTAGCCTCTATTTTGAGATAGGGCCTTGCTTGCTTTGTGATCCTGCCTGTCTTTGAGCTTGCAGCTTCTCCCTCCCTAGTGTTGAAATTACAGGCTTGTCTAAATATTCCTTTTTAGGGAGCTAGAGAGATAACTCAGTGGTTTAAGGGCACTGACTACTCTTGCAGAGGATCTAGATTTGCTTCCCAGCACCCACATGGCAGCTAATAACTGTCTACAAGTCCAGTTCCCAGACATCTGATGCCTTCTTCTGGCCCCTGTGAGCATTGCATGACATGGGTACATCCACATACATGTAGGCAAAACTCATACACATAAAAATAAATAGGCACTGGAGAGATGACTCAGCGGTGAAGAACACTGGTTGTTCTTGCAGAAGACCTGGGTTCGAATCCTAGCACCCACATGGCAGCTAGCAACTGTCTATAACTCCAGTCCCAGGGGATCCAACAGCCTCTTCTGACCTCTGTGGGCATTGCATGACACGGGTGCACTTACCTACATGTAGGCAATATACATATACACATAAAATAAAAATAAATAAAAAAATTAAAAAAAATAACAAAAATTTAAAAAAATATATCCTTTTCTGGGCTACTCTTTTTGTGTTTTCTCCTAAGAGGTAATAACCAGAAATTTATTCGGTATTACTCACTTATTTAGTGCTGGAGATTGAACCCTGGGCCTCACATGTGCTCAGCCCATATTCTAGCACTGAGCTATATACCCTTAGCCCTTTTTCAATATAGTTTAGAAATCATGATGTTTTAGAAAACTTGAATATATTAATAATACAGTTTTTTGAACTTTTGAAATTAAAGTTAGTCATAAATACAGAAACTCACTGAAATTTTACAAATAGAAGCCATTCAAATTGGACACGTGAGGTTAGGAATAAGCTTCTGGCATCTCTCCAGAAGCTCTGCTCCTGCCTTTCCAGCTATGCACTCTGGAGTAAGCCTGGCTGTTTGTGTGTGGCTTGGAAGGTAGGCACGGAGCTGTTCTCTGTGACTGTAGAAATGTTGTCCTGTGCTGTACACTGTTGCAGTCTGGATCCTTTCTGGCTGGGTTCATGTGTATGAGATCTGTCCAGATTGCAGCTTTTTAATTGCAACAAACATTTCCATGTAAAATCAGCTGTTTTCCAACAAAAAGAACTCTGGACTTCTGGAAAACTGATGGATTCCAGGGCTGAGGCAGGAGAAATGCAAAATGAGCTGAAGGTCTCCCAAGGCCGAGTAGGGAACACGCTGGGCCATTTGGGCTTAGATGCTAGTTCGCTGTTACTCTGTGTAAGCAGTACAGCTAGAATTAGTCCCATTTTACAAACAAGGCTCTGTGAAATAAGTAAAAATATTATTTCATCATCATTTTCAGGTGTTTTTGTGTTGATGATTTGTTTACCTTCTCTTTTCTATTCTTTTATTTTTGGACCTAGGGTCTCAGGTAGCCAAGGCTGACCTCAAACTTGCTAAGTAGATGAGGATGACCCTGAACTCTTGGTCCTGCCTCCACTTCCCAAGTACTGAGATTACAGGCATGTGCCATGCTTTTAAGGGTGCAGTGGCTTGAACCCTGGGTCTCATGCATCCTAGGCAAGCATTCTACTAGCTGAGCTGCATCCCCAGCACATAGTAACCTTTACTCTATAAAATAAAGCAATATATTCAAAATGGAATTTTAATCAATTCTAGATCTTCCACTGTTAAAACTGGCATCATGCCAGAAAATCTCTACAGTCCAAGTACAAAGTAATTTTATTAGATGAGAATCACATCAACCATTGAGATTGTCAGTTGTGAACCCATTTTACCCATTTTACATATGAGAAATGGAATCTTAAAGTATAAATGAATTATGTGAAATCACAGAGCTTGTGTATGGAGTTGTTACGTAGGAGGCAAACTCCAGCACAAATGTAGATCTAAGAAGTTAATCTAGATCGTGGTATTTTCATCCTAGGCTGTATTGCAAATAATGGTAGCTGCTAGTTTAAATAAAAGAAGAATATGCTATCAGTGCCCTACATGGTCTCCACTGTTTAATCTGTATATGTGCTGTGGTTTTGAGTTTCAAACAAAGCAGTGTTGTCATTATAAATCTTTTTTCTCTGTTCTCAGGAGCCACCAGAAATGGAACTATTAAAATTTTTCAGGCCAGAAAACACTACAGTTTCTACAAGACCATCAGTAGACCAGCTTTCTAATCTCATTAAAACAAGTCTCCACTACCCAGAATCATTTAATCATCCATTTCATCAAAAAAGGTTTGAGGTTTATTTTTGTTAAAACTTTTTTTCTGTGCACACGCATGAACATGAACATACACTCATTCTTAAAAAATAACTTACTACTTTGGCAATGGCATTAACCTGCATAATGAAAGAAACTTAAAATAATATTGAGTCTTAAGTGATTTAGCCTTTACAATTAGTGTACACGTACCACACATCTGCATGCATACATGCACATGCACACTACAGGGGTGCTGAGGATGGACGTTGCCTCAGACATTTCTGAGGTGCCAAAAGCTTCCTTTTGAGGAGTGAATTTTTGTCATAAATTTTAAAACCTAGAAAAAAATTACATTGTTTTGCTTTTTATTTTAGATAGAATTTAAATCTATGACATGATTACCAGTAGGAACTCACCAGATAGCTCAGCTTAGACAATGTCATTCCCTGAAGATTCTCTAAAAAACTGTTCATTTATTACCATTTTATGTGTAGGAGTATTTTGCCTGCATATGTGTAAGTGCACCAAATGTATGTAATGCCCAGGGATGCCAGAAGAGGGCATCAGATTCCTTGGAACTGGAGTTATGAAGGTGGTTGTTAGCCACCATGTGGGTGCTGGGAACTGAACCCAGGTCCTCTGCAGGAGCAGCCAGTACTCTTAACCACTGAGCTATAGCTCTCCAGCCCTCCTGAAAAAATTTTAAAATACGTATTTGCACGCATGTTTGGGGTGTGCATGTGTGTGCATATGTGCACATTTTATGGTACTTGCCTGTAGGTCAGAGGACAACCTGCAGGAATCAGTTCTTTCCTTTTACCTGAGGATTGAACTCTGTTGTCAGTCTTGGCAGCGTGCACCTTTACCTACATTGCCATCTTGCCCCCCCGCCCCCCAAAAAGATTTTATAAACACTAAATTTCATAGGGAATGATTTTTTTGTTTTTGTTTTTGTATTTTTTGAATCCGTCTCCTTGTAACCCCAGCTGGCCTGGAACTCATTATGTAGACGAGGTGTTCCTTGATCTCACTCACAGAGAACTTCCTGTCTCTGCCTTCCAAGTGCTGGGATAAAAGGTGTGCCATCATGCCTGGCTTATTTGTAATTTTGATGAACAACTTTAATGTGTAAACTTAGTTTTAAAAATAAAAACTTAATCTGATGCATTTGAAAAGGTTGCCCACTTGCAGATTTAAGATGGAGTGGTGCTCTCTTAGAACCAGTGCACAGGTGGCATGCTCACACACGTGCAGGCAAAACACCCATAAAAATAAAAAAAGTGAAGCAGGACAGATGTGGAAGAGGAGAGCTCCAGGGGTGGTGCTCACCTGGGAAGTGTGCCTCTGCATGGCAGGTAGAGAGGGTGAAATTGCAGGTGTTCCAAAGGAAGAGGATTGTGACTTCAGGCCTGACTGGGCTGTATCATGGGACCAATGAGAGAGAAGAGAAAAGAGAAGATGATAGGACTAGAGATGATAAAGAAACCAATCATGCTAGGTTAAGGGCTATAGTTGAATTCCGTGGCATGCATGGAACCTTAGAACAGGTGCTAGTTATCCTCGATACTTTACATCACTGAAAACAGATCCCTGGAGGGAGTAGGTAGCATTCTTAATTCCCCTTTTACAGGAGGGACAAGTGAGTACAGGGTCTGGGAACTGATAAAGCTTTAGCAGGCCTTTAGTAACAGCCAGATATCAGGCTCAGAGTGGAAGTGTAGCTGTCAGTGGCTTGGTCTCTATGTACTGTTTGTGGCTTACCAGTTTAGCACTTTAGTAAGACAGCTGTATAAAAATGGCTTTCAGATGTAGTTCCACTCAGCTGTAGCCACTTCTAGGAACTTGATAAAATGTAGTCCAGATGTATAGAATCAGAAACTGGAGTGGGGCCCAGGTGTCTGTGTCTATTTGTTCATCTGTCTGTCTCTATTTGTTTTTAGATAAGGTCTTGTTTTGTGGTTGAGGATGGCCTGAATTCATGATCCTTTTGCCTCAGCCTCTTGCCTACAGGCATGCAGTAACCATACCTGGCTCCCGGCAATCTTTGGGTTTGTTTTTGAGACGGTCTCCCTGTGTCCCCAGCTAGCCTAGAATTCATCATGTTCACCAGGCTGGCCTCAGTCTCACAGAGATCTGCTTGTCTCTGCCTCCTGAGTGCTCGGATTAAAGGCCTGTGCCACCATGCCCAGCCCAGCAATCTTTTTATCATGGCCACCAGGTGATTTGATGCACGCTCAAAGGGGGGATTCCATCAGAATACCAGCTAAGAGAATATTACAGTAATAAAACACGTGACTACTTACTTGAATTTGTAAGGAATGAGATAGGTTAAAGTACTAGGAGATGTATGGCAGTAAGAATTGGCAGAAGTTTAGGGAGGAGATGGGGAAGGTGGCCTGTGAGGCAGCAGGAAGGAAGAAGGGCTTGTCCTGTCCAGTGACCAGGAGACAGCTCACCTGTTTTCTACTAGCATTTCAATAAGGTGTAAATAATTTAGCATTTGAGGATCAAATGGGAACAGAATAGTGTAAGTTTCTGGGTTTTGCTCTGGCTTAAAAATTAATGCATTTGGAATTCAGTTTAAGGAGATGCTGCAGACTAGAAAGCAGCTCTCCAGTCTCCGTCAGCAGCTCTCCAGTCTCCGACATCCTTGCCATGGGAGAAGTCATGGGACAGGCAAAGTTTCTCTTCAGGGAAACTTCTGTTACTTACAGTATAGAAAGTACGTGATCTGATACTCAGTATTGAGACACTGTATTAATGTCTTTTATTCACAAAATGAGCTTATCTTCAGTGATTTTATGACTCAGTTTTTTCCTTGAATTTTTTTAAGCTCACGCTCTGTTAAGTATTATTAAATGTTATTTTTTTAAGAAAGCTGTTTCTAAGAAGAAAACACATGGTTAACCATTTTTGTTCATTTTTCCCCATAGCCTTTGTTCAGTACCCGTCACACTTTTACTTTCTAACTGTTCTAAGGCTGATGTAGATGTCATAGTTGATCTGCGGCATAAAACAACAAGGTAAAGATTTATTTGGTAAAAAGTCACTTTTAATATAATTTAAAGCAATTTAATGTTTGAGATTAAGCAAGTAATTACCCAACATGGACAAAGTTACTCGAGCGTGCTCTGCTGTTTTCATGTGTGTTAGAGAGGTGTTATGACACTATTAAAGGATTTCCCTCTTGATTTGAAAATATTAACAAAAAGATTAAGTCTCTACTGCCATATCCGATAGGCCTAGAGCCAGCAACAGCTTCTAGGACTCAGGCATTTTTATATTCTTAGAAAAAGAAGCATATACTGAATATTATCTTGTCACACCCTAGTTGGGACCTTAAACATTCAAGTATATGAGATCTGTCATTATGTAGACACAGATTAACAACTAATGTTGTGTTGGTGGGTGCTGGGCTATTTTCCACTTTTCAGCTTTATAGAGTTCAATATCACGAGCATTCTTTTACACATATTCTTTATGTGGCTAGCCAAGAGGTGAAGATCTCAAGTTTCTGATCAGCTCCATCACTTACTAGCTATTGTTATGGGCATTAAATGAGGTAATTCATTCTCAGCATTGTGCCTAGAAAATAGTAATATGTGTTGCTAACACAGTTATAATAGTAATATGTTGTTAATAATGAACAGTTGGTTTCATAAAGTTATTCTCAGAAGTAGAAGTACTTGATGAAAGATATGTTAGTAAGACTTTGGAGAAAAAAGATCATAAAGGAAAAAGTTTGCAACCTAACTGTTTGCCTCCTCCTGCAGTCCAGAAGCACTGGAAGTTCATGGATCATTTACGTGGCTTGGACAGACACAGTATAAACTTCAACTGAAAAGCCAGGAGATTCACAGTTTGCAGCTGAAAGCATGCTTTGTTCATACAGGTGTTTATAACCTCGGAACACCTAGGGTGTTCGCCAAGTTATCGGACCAAGTTACAGTGTTTGAAACAAGTCAACAGAACTCTATGCCTGCCCTGATTATCATCAACGATGCTTAACAACTGAGGGCCACAAGAAGGATCTGATTTGCAGAATTGGCTTCACGGCAGCATTTGAAATACCCAATTTGTTAAAGAGGCTGTTTGATGACTGCAGGATAGAATAGACTTGACACTACCGGATACTGCAAAGCACGCTGGAGTGAGGATGCTTAGATTCCATTTTTTTCCTTTTCTTTGAAACCTGGTAATAATTTACATGCTCATAATACAGAATTTCCACATATCCATGCACATATTATGCCCTGTTCTTTAACAACGTTGTGGTCTGTTGTTGCAGCTTGTCAGGTGGTTTGTGACTGTGTGGAGGTAACTGAGGAGGGCCTTGTCGGCATACTCCATTAGGCCTTTAGTTGACAGATTCCAGCTGTGCTGCACTGTTCTCTAGAGTTAAATGCAGATTTTCCTGTCTTGCTTCACACAGTGCTCTCAAATCAGGTTTGAGTTTGGTTAAAAGGGCATTTTTATTTCAGTACTGGTGGTTCCGATAGGCTTATACATAACTGTAAAAAGGAAAACTTTTTTTCTGATGCTTTAATATAGTTTTGGAAGGAGTTTGACTTTTGCCCCTTGTTCATTGCACATTCATCACACTGTTTCACAATGAGATTTTTGTCCTTAAGATCATATTCTTTATTAAATAACTTTACAATTAAGTTGATCTGTTTAAAATATAAATCTCAAGTTAAAAATAAGCTTTTCAAAAATGTATATTTATAACAAATGTACTGTAAATAGAATAAAGACATACTATTCACTGTATAGATTTATTAGATGCATTTTTTAAAACCTGGTTTTGTGAGGACTTAATATATTCTTTACTTAAAATAAAGACTGACCATACACAGTAGGCACCAGCCAGTTTCCTGTGAAAGCTTTATTGCCATTTTTTTCCAAAAGTGCACAGCCTTTGCTCTTGAAGACCTCACCAGCCTGGTTATACTCGACCAGGGATGAGCCAGTCAATGTTGTTGTTACATGTATTCTGTCTGATGCCATCTTACAGATGTGGACAGTCCGTTTTTGTCCTGGTAGGCAGGAGGAGCAAAGGTTCCCGAATCTGTTGTCAGTAGCAGTGGCTCTGGTGCTAGTTACCCTGTGCCTCCTACTGAGAAAAAAGTAAAATGTCTGAAGAAAACAGTCCCCTAAAAACAGTGTGACGGCATGGTCTGTTATTAGTGCACCAAATCCAGAGGGAAGTGCTTGGAGAGGAGCAGGCAATCCAGGGCTGCTTATAAGCCAAGAAGGGGAAGTTAGAAGAAAGAGGTTGAAAACCAGGGAGAAAGAAAGTTGTACTGCTGGTCCAGAAACATGTGGTTCAGCCCTAGAAAGAGAAGAGGGAGATGTAAGGCAGTATCAAGAGAATCAGTTTTCCAGGGGCTGGAGAGACGGCTCAGAGTTAAAGAGCGCTGGCTGCTCTTGCAGAAGACGCAGCTTCACTTCCCAGCACCCACATGGTAGCTAACAATTGTCCACAACTCCAGTTCCTGGTGATCTCTTCTGATTTTTGCAAACATATGCACATGGTGCACTTATATGCATGCAGGCAAAACACTCATACATGTAAAATAAATAAAAAATTTTAAAAATCACAATTTTCCAAAGTCATTGTCAAATTACAGGTTGAAGTACAGTAAATTCCAAATAATAGAGAGGGCTCTGTGCATATCTGTCGTAGTGAAACTGCTGGAGGCGCTTGCTGAGAGTGAAGCCCAGGACCTCACGCACTTAATGTACCAAGCACCCTGCCACTTCAGCCTCCTGTCTGCCCTGAAACGGACTTGACCAGTGGCAGTGTTCTAATGATAGATGACTTTTTGAAAATAATGGAAGCCGGAAACCAGTAACATGTTTTGAAAGGGTTGAAAGGAAGCAACGGCTAAGCCACAGGGTGTTTGTTTTGTTTTTCTTTTTGAGAGAGGGTCTCATGTAGCTCAAACCTCAACCATGTCTGTAGTCAAGGATGACCTTTAATTTCTGAGCTGCTTCCAGTATTGCAGGCATATCCCATCACTACATCTAGTTTCCACAGTGCTGGGGGTGCTGGAGCCCAGAGCTATTTATTTTTTTGTGTATGTGTATCATGCCTGAATGTGTGTGCGTACCTGAGTCATGCAGCACCCTTGGAGAACAGAAGAGGGTGTCATATCCCCTGAACTGGAGTTACAGACGGTTGTTAGCCGACATGTGGGTGCTGGGATTTGAACTTGAGTCTTCTGCACAAACAGCCAGTACTCTTAACTGCTGAGCCATCGTTCCAATCTTAAGTCAGTTTTAAACAGTGAAAATGTGCTTCCAAAACGGAGTGAAACACATTTCAGGCAAATCTATATAACATTGCTTCCAAATGACTACAGGATAATGGCAGCTATTCAAATCTAAATCCTTCCATTCATTCTCTAAATATGTATATGAATCAGCTAGGGCAATGGAGCCAAACCTAATTCATGCTTTCAGCATAACTAGGACGACGATACTACCAGCTCCAAATGATCCAAAAGAAGAAATGCAGTGCAAAATTACAGTGGCTATCCCAGGGTTCTGGAAACCTTTTTTTTAGACCAGGCTGGCCTCAAACTCACAGAGATCCGTCTGCCTCTGCCAATTAAAGACATGCACCACCATGCCCAGCCTGGGAGTCTTCCTAGACAGTGGAGGTGCGGACAACAGGAAGACTGGGCAGGAGACAGGGCTGTGGGGTGAGCCGCAGTCACTCCAGGGGAAGGGACCCTAGTGTAATTTGGGGACTTGAGCAAGAGAGAAGGGAGAAAAGGAGACAGTGCAGGGACAGAGGATTCTTTTCTATACAAGGTTTCCCTGAACCATTGCAAGGGAGTCTTGAAACCAGCTGTATCCGTAGGAGGCACTAGAAGTGGCCATTTGCATTTGAAGAGGTGACACTTCATGATTGCAGGAAACGGTGAGTAATTTATTTATTTATTTATTTATTATTTTATGTATATGAGTGTATTGCCTGCATGTATGTGGGTGCACCTGTGTTGTGCAATGCTGCGGAGGTCAGAAGAGGGCTTTGGATTCCCCTGGAACTGGAGTTAAGGACGGTTCATAGCCGCCATGTGGGTGCTGGGAATTGAACCCAGGTCCTCTGCAAGAGCAGTCAGTGCTCTTAACCGCTGAGTCATCTCTCCAGCCCCATACTTCTTACTTTTTAAAGATTAATTTTTATTTACATATGTGCATGTCTGAGTGTAGCCACATTATGTGCAGGTGTCCACAGAGGTCAGGAGAGGGAGTTGGGTCCTCTGGAGCTGGAGTTACAGGCAGTGTGAGCTGCACAACATGAGCACTGGGAACCGAACTCAGGTTATCTGTAAAAGCAAGAGCTCTTTTTACTACTGAGCTATCTCTCCAGCCCCAGCTTTTGCTTTTCAGTGATATTTTGGGATAAAGTCTCCCTAGTAACAAGGAAGTGGAATATTTTCATGGAGATCTTCAGTAGTTATTTCATACGGTTCATCTAGAATCCCCCCACAAAACATACCCATTTTCTCATCTACTGCTCAGTTACTTCACACTAAGGTGCCTGTGACCTGGGCTCTGTGCTTAATGAAAGTGCAGTTTGTGCCAACAGATTCACCACATCAGAGCATACTATCTCATAAGAAAATTAGGCACCTAGGCTTTCTGTTCTCAGTGAGTTTATTCTTGGACATCATTTCCCACTGGCTTCCTTCCTCAGTCCTATCATTTGAGTCCAGATACTGGACTGGCCTGGAATGCAAAATTCCTGCCTTGTGCAGTGTAATGTAGGACTCCAGGATAACACAGCAGAGGACAGTCCACTCTTCCCTCTCAGCACACTCAAAATTCTCCAGCCCCATCCAATGAAATAATGAGAACCATAACTCAATATTGACTTCAGTCATCTGAAATCTCAAGAACATTTCAGTCATAAAGTTTTTTCTCTCCTGAGACTTCAGTTGGGGGGAAAGGTGTCTGGCTCTCTTGTGCCTGGCTCACATCTGGTGTGCAGTCCTGATGAACAACACAGACTATTTCCTTTAAAAAAAAAAAAAAAAAAAAAAGCTTGGCATGGCGACATGCCTTTAATCCCAGCACTCCTAGGAATAGGTGGATCTCTGGGATGATGGCCAGCCTGGTCTATAGAGTAAGTTCCAGGCCAGCTGGGGCTACAGGAGACCCTATCTCGATATGATATGATATGATGTGATAATGATATGATATGATATGATATAAATATGTTTAGAGTGTAGGAAATTACATTTTTTTAGGAAAGTGACAGTAGCAGGTTCTCTTCTAGGGTCTATGACCTCCCAACGATGGGTATTTGACTGTGTTTACAGTACAGTATTCCCTACTGTTGAATGGGCCTTAAGTCTAATTAGACAGCTGTTGATTACAAAAGTGCCACTATTTACCAATAGGGCTGTTTGCTGAACTGATCATTGTTGTGGTTTGTAGATGTTACAGCTGGGTAGGGCCATTGGTCAGTTTTCTCCCCTGGCAGCTTAGTATCTATCTTCTGATACTATGAGTGCCATTCTTCAGGGGACGCCTACAGGTCAGTTCCAGCTCCATTGTCCTAGGTCCTCTGTCCATAGTGTGTGTTGTCTTCAGCAATAGGGTCTTACTTTCAAGTTCTGGGAGGCAACCAAGGGCTGTGGCAGTAGCTTATATTATTTGGGGAGTCTTTTGGAATACCCTGACTGACAAGTTAAAGAGGTTTCCCTTGCTGCCACTGGGATTTTTTGTTAGCCTTCGCCTATACACATGTACTCACATATATACTATATGTGTTTTTAAAAATATATTTTTTTGTGTTGAGTGTATTGCCTGCATGTATATATGTGCACCTGTGTTGTGTGCAGTGCACGCAGAGGTCAAAAGAGGTCATCAGATCCCCTGGAACTGGAATTACAGGTGTTTGTTAGCCATTATGTGGGTGCTAGGAATTGAACCTGGGTCCTCTGCAAGAACAGCCAGTGCTTTTAACTGCTGAACATCTCTCCAGCCATATATGTATATTTTTAAGGAAGCTTATGAAGTATTAGATTTCTCTGTGGTTTTTCAGACATCCTTAGTAGTATTTTTCTCCATCCCCCCCCTTAACCCCTGTTTTACCATCTCTCTTCCCTCCCCAATTAAAGTATATCCATTTTTTCCATTTCCCCTTTGATAATGCCTGTGTCCTATTATACTATCCCTCTCTCTCAAGCCCCCCGCCCCCATCCCATGGTTCCTTTTTCTGGGGCTGGGTTGCCTCTGTGATGTTTTCCAGTTCTATGCATTTACCTGCAAATTTCATGATCTCAATTTTCTTTATAGCTGAACAGAAAACTTCATTGTGTAAGTGTACAACATTTTCATTATCCATTCGTCAATTGAGGGACATTTAGGTTTTCAGTTTCCTAGCTGTTGTGAAAAGAGCAGCCCTAAACATGGCTCAGCAAGTGCACCTGTAGGAAGATACTGATTCCTTTAGGTATATGCCAAGAAGTGGTAGAGCAGAGTCATTTGGTAGATCTGTTTTTAGTTTGAGACTTCTCCACACTGACTTTCATAGTGGCTGCACCAGTTTGAATCATACCAGCAGTGAGTGAGTGTTCCCCCTTCCCTGCATCATCACCGTCATTTGTTGTCAGTTGTTTTCTTGGTCTTTTTTTTTCCCCTCCTTACTGAACTTTTGTGATTTTGTTGCAATATCATTTGATGATACTTAGATTCCCTCCCTTATTGTTTTCTTGACCTTAGCCACTCGATCTTAAAGTAATTTTAATTTGTATTTCCCTAATTGGTAAGGACGTTGAACACTTTTAAAGGTACGGTTTAGCCATTTTTACTTCTTCCTTTTGAGAACTGTCTGTTCAG